TCCTTTGTTTTCTGCTCATTCTAAATCATGAGGCAGGAGGGGCAAATGTGATGATGCTTGCCCATACCATTAAAAATGAGACTTAGCTGCCTTCATTATGTGACTGTGTCCTTGTTTGGGAAGACAGTGATTCCCTTGTCCTATCCATACCAAGTACTCTCCATCAACATGTACCACATCAGTAATAAACCCCTGCTAAAGGCTTACTCTGCAAAAAGTTGTAAGACCATTTTTGGTTCAGGCCTCAGCTATTGCTCCTCAGTTCTGAGAGGAGCAAGGGCAGGGCAAGTTGCTGCAGAGTTTTCAGCAGAGTTTTAGTGTCTTAGTGGATGACAATGTCTGTGGGTTATCTGTAAGGTAAACGGCACACGCACACTGGTCGGAGCAGGTGCTTTTGCACAATGTGTTGATTTTGCCAGAGGCAAGGTCGGGCTAACAGGAGCTAGAACTGCTGCAGCAGAACACGAAGCAAGAGCTAGTTGGGTCTGAGTAACAAAAGCAATACAGGCTGAGTGTCCTTAAATGAAATGCTTGTGACCACAAGTGTTTTGGATTTCAGATTTTAAAAAAATTTCAGAATATCTGAATACACATAATGAGATATCTTGGGAATGGGATCCAAGCGCAAACATGAAACTTATTTTATATACATATATCTTATATGCTTAGATTGAATGTAATTTTTTTTGACAGGCAGAGTTAGTGAGAGAGAGAGACAGAGAGAAAGGTCTTCCTTCTGTTGGTTCACACCATAAATGGCTGCTACAGCCGGCGCACTGCGCCGATCCAAAGCCAGGAGCCAGGTGCTTCTCCTGGTCTCCCATGCAGGTGCAGGGCCCAAGAACCTGGGCCATCCTCTACTGCCCTCCCAGGCTACATCAGAGAGCTGGACTGGAAGAGGAGCAACCGGGTCAGAATCCAGCGCCCAGACTGGGACTAAACCCCGGGGTGCCAGCGCCGCAGGCGGAGGATTAGCCTAGTGAGTCGCGGCGCCGGCTGGTATTATGCTTTTTAAAATTAGAAATCCCTTTAAAAGTTACTTGAGAAGGGAGGGAGGGAGGGCCCATAATGGTCCCAAGGCTGGGGCAGGGTAATGCCTAGAGCTGCGAACTCAATCCAAGCCCCATGTAGGTAGCAGAGACCCATCACCTGCTGCCTCCAAGAGTGTGCACTAGAAGGAAGCTGGAACTGACAGCTGAGCTGGGACTCAAACCCAGGCATTCCAACGTGGGACATGGGCATCTCAACCACTGGGCCAAAGCCTGCCCCTAGACAATTTATTGTATTTATTTTGACTGTGGCCTACCACATGCAGTCAGGTGTCATGTTGGTGCTCAAAAAGTGTCTGATTTTTGAGAATTTTGATTTCAGAGTTTTGGATCTGGGATGCTCAATCTCTAAAATGTAAACTACTTTGTAGGTATGTTGACTTGCTACTAAGAACCACTTCTTTTATTTTAAGATTTATTTATTTGAAAGGAAGGGTTATAGAGGCAGAGGCAGAAAAACAAATAGAGGTCTTCCATCCACTGGTTCACTCCTCAAATGGCTGCAATGGCAGAGCTGGGCTGATCTGAAGCCAGGAGCCTGGAGTTTCTTCCAGGTCTCCCACGTAGATGCAGGGGTCCAAGGACTTGGGCCATCTTCTGCTGCTTTCCCAGGCCAAAGCAGAGAGCTGGATTGGAAGTGGTGCAGCTGGAACTTGAACCAGTGCCCATATGGGATGCCGACACTGCAAGCAATGGCTTTACCTGCTATGCCACAGCACCAGTCCCAAAACAGCTTCTTTTAAAATAAATATTATTTATTTAAAAGAGGAGAGAGGAGAGAGAGAGAGAGAAAGAGAGAGAGAGAGAGAGAGATTGATTCTTCCACCTGCTAGTTCACTCTCTAAATGGCCACAACTGCCAGGCTGGTTCAGGTTGAAGCCAGGAGACCAGAGCTCCATCCAGGTATCCCATGTGGGTGGCAGGGATCCAGATACTTGAGCCATCTTCTGCTGCTTTCCCAGGCACATTAGCAGGAAGCTGGATTGGAAGTACAGGTGCTGGGACTTGAACCAGTGCTCCAGTATTGGATGCTGGCATTGTGGGAAAAAACTGCAAGCTGCTTTTTATTTATTTTTTTAAAGATTTATTATTTGAAAGGCAGAGATAGAGAGGGAAGGAGGGAAGGGGGGAGGGAGAGAGAGAGAGAATGAATCTTTATCTGCTGGTTCACTCTCCAAATGGCCACAATAGCCAGAGCTGGGCCAATCTGAAGCCAGGAGCCAGGAGCTTCTTCTGGGTCTCCCATGTGGGTGCAAAGGCCCAATGACTTGGACCATCTTCTGCTGCTTTCTCATGTACATTAGCAAGGAGCTAAATCGGAAGTGGAGCAGCTGGGACTCAAACCAGTGCCCCTACGGGATGAGGTGCCGGCACCTCAGGCGACCCCCTTACCTGCTATGCCACCGTGCCAGCCCCTGTGAACTGCTTTTTAATTGACTTTTTGTTAGCCCGTCATTCAGTAGTTTTTGGTTGAAAATGTATTCTCCTTCCTGTGGTATGGAATTGTCAAGTTTGGGAAAGATGTGGCTCAAATTCATCCCATCTTTAGGTGGGACTTTCATCTTTACTGTAAGAATCTATTTTGTTTCAGTAAATGTAAGAAAGATTTTTAAGAGAAACATTCATTAATCTATTTCTTTGTCAAGTCATTTCCAGAATATGCTTCGTTATAGCATTGAAAAAACTCTTTAATTAATTTTTTTACTTGTGGTAGCATAGTTAAGATAAATGTACCATTTTAATAATTTTAAGTGTACATTTTAGGGCATTAAGGATATTTGCAATGTTGTGCAACCATCTCCACTATTCATTTCCAGAACTTACTCATCATCCTAAACAGAAACTTTGTACCCATCAAACAGTAACTCTCCATTTCCGCTTCCACAGTCCCTGGTGAGGTTGGCCCTTGTTTCACGCAAATTAGTCTTGTCTTCGACTCTAGATTTAAAAGTTTTAAAATGTATTTACTTTCATTTTTTATTTGAAAGGGAGAGACTCAGAAAGAGGGGGGAGAGAGAGAGAAAGATTCCTTCCATCTGCTGGTTCATTTGTTAAATGACCACAACAACTGGGTTTGGAGCCAGTAGCCTGGAACACAGTCAGAGTCTCCCACATAGGTGGCAGGGACCCAGATACTTGCAGGTACCTGTCGCCTCCCATGGTGTAAACTGGAGTTGGGAGCAGAACTGGGACTTGGACCCAGGCACTCTGACATGAGAGACAGGCATTCCCAGTGGCAACTACCCAACTTAGGGCTGAGCACATTCTGAGTAACTACCTCCTGTTTGTTGGAGGACTGGATGCTACGGAAAGGACCAAATGACCTTCTCAGAGATTTCTCAGCCTAAGACTACTCATCAGGGCAAGAAATCCTGGGGTACTGGAAGCATACCATAATGTCACCAGGGACCAAGAAGTTAACAATGTGTGCGGACACAAAAGGAGTGGTAGGTAGTGGGGTTGAATAGGAGAAATCCTGCCCTGCATAAAGGTGTTCGAATTCAGATTTTCATAAAACACTCTTTCAGCCAAACATTCCAACTGTGGTGGATTCAACCAAAGAACCTGTAATCAAAATTCTTGCCAATAACCTGTCTCCATGAATAGCCCATGTGCTATAAGCTCTGGAAACCCAGTCTTGGACAGAGCTCCAGAAGTGGCCTCAACATGTGCCCAAATGGAGGCTAGTTTTACAGTCTCTTCCCACTCATCTAAAACTGTTATTTAAAATGGCAGCAGCTTTTTCCTTTCCTTGACATATCGTACATGAGCCTCTTCCATCATTGCCTGTGACATCAAAGATCTGTTTCCAAGACAACAGTATAATGTCTGCCCTATTCTCTTCTGTTTCTAGTTATCTTCCCAGTACAGATGATGTAGTTCATGGGGTTCCTCTGACAGAGCACTTTTTAAGTGCATGCAGTATGCAAAAAAGACTCCGTTATCCGGGAATAGGCAACAGACTATTGTAGGAATAGAGAGAAAGGAGCCATCAGGTGTAGGAAGTCAAGAGCAGATGAAAAGGTGTATGATGCCGTGACTCAGGTACTTCCTCTCCAGACTTTGCAGCCCATATGGACATCAGATACCTTTATCTGAACACTGAATCACCATAAGAATTTCTCTAGGACAGATAAAGGCCTGTGATATGATGCCTGGCTTATGAAACAGAAGGGTTTTGTGATGCAGTCCAGCAGTGTGGATCTATCTTCTGTGATGCAGAGATGACAAGATCTAGAATCTGGAGGCATTAGGTTCCAAGACCCTGGAAGCCTAGGAAGAGGGATGGCCAACAAGGTTTAGACCATGTTGATTCCCACTTTTATTCTGTGGGATGTTGGATATCCCTTATGTGCCTGTGGATCCATCTTCATTATTGGATTAATTATTTGGCAAGTGAAAAAGAAACGCCAAAAAATAAAGTTGGGACCTCACAGGAGCTGTTGCCTGGTAGGGAAATACTTTGACTATGATTGAATTGATAAGTCTCAAAAAAGATTTTATCAAACCTTTTTTTCTCTTGATCTGCCCCCATCCCACCCCCTATCCCCCTTTTAAAATGGAAGTTTACTCGTTGGGTTCCAGGGTATTTCCCAATTTGGCTGATTGTTCTGGTTGGTGGCCATTTAGGGCCTCTAATGGCTGAAATCTTTGGCTATTAGAATCACCCAACCCTTAAACTGTTCCACTTTTCTTCCTGTGTCATCCTAAACTCCCTAAGAAGTTGTCCATGGAATGGGGGTGGGAGTATGGAAGAGCCTTAAAGTGAGTCAGAAGTAAGAAGAGAAGGGAACTGTTGGGAGTAAAAAAGGGTCAAGAAAGAAAAAGTGAAAGAGTATAGAAAGTTGGGATACAGGAAAAAATTGGAAAATCTTTATGAATTTTGTTTCATTTTATACATGAAAAGAAAATGGTGCCTCAGCTTTACTTTCTAATGTTTTTGTCTTTAAGCATCACCAAAGAACCAAACAAAAGCCTAGAGATAAAGCAAAAGGTAAAGTCCTGATCTCTTCTCTGAGTCCCTTCTACTGTGGGTGAGGTTCCCCCGGATCCTGGCGCTCTAGGACCCCTCGTTCCAAAAGCCTGGTGCCTCTATTCACTGAAACTCCAATAACCCCAAATGACAACTTCTTACAGAAACTGAGTAGGAAATCAGAGCATTCCAAAATTCTCTGTCTTCCTCTCCTGAGATTAAAGAATGAGGAAGAGGCCCACACCGCAGCTCACTTGGCTAATCTGCCTGCGGCGCCAGCACACCAGGTTCTAGTCCCAATTGGGGCGCAAGATTCTGTCCCAGTTGCTCCTCTTCCAGTCCAGCTCTCTGCTGTGGCCCAGGAGGGCAGTGGAAGATGGCCCAAGTGCTTGGGTCCCTGTACCTGCATGGGAGACCGGGAGGAAGCACCTGGCTCCTGGTAGCGGCCATCAGGGGAGTGAACCAATGGAAGGAAGACCTTTTTCTCTGTCTCTCTCTCACTGTCTAGAACTCTACCTGTCAAATAAAAAAAAAAAAAAAAAAAAAAAAAAAAAAGAAAAGAAAAGAAAAAAGAATGAGGAAGTATGGCAGAGAACTTTCCTGGTTGATTTACTAGTTTTACAATCCTGTGGAAGTCACTTTATCTCTATCTTGTTATCCACAAAATAAGCATAACACCAATGATCCTTTTTTGTTCACAGTGTGGTTGTGATAGTCAAAACAGATTAGGTATGGGACAACACATTGTAAATGGCTAAATGTACACAAATGGGACTTACAGCACTGATTTTTGGAATTTTTCAGTCCCCTCAAATTAGCAGCCTTCAGCTTCCTACAGAATGTTCCTGAATCTTCTCCTATTCTACCTAACACTGTCTCCTGGTTCCTCAGCAAAGAAAACTTCCCAGGAAGAAGCTGAGAAGCTGCAGAAGTTGATCTCTGTCATGAAAAGGTGATCTCTTGCTCTTTGCAATTTCCCAACTCACAGCTGGGCCTGTAATGATAGCTCTGCTTGGCCTGGGGCAGGGAGGAGGAGGGATAATGGCTGGGAGGGACACACACACACACAGTGCAGGCTGGTTACCAGGATAGAATGGAGCTGACATAGTTCAGGAGTGAAGGGTCACCCAAGTCTATGCTAGTGTCACAGTGGTTCTGGAATTCAGGATTTGATTAGTGCATCATTTGTAAAAGATACTACATAAGGCTACACTCAGATATGAGACGAGGCCTCCAATCAAGAGAATGGGTCGTCATCATCATTTCCTCGTTACAGCTACTCCCTTTCAAGGACAGACTCCTGAATCTGGCTGAATCTGCTGACACTGCCTCTTCTGGTTCTGTCTTCAGGGAGCCAGTTCCTGAGACAGACCTCAGAAAGGAGCCTATCATCTTATCCTGTCTTTAAGATCTGTGGAGAACAGGATTTGTTCTCAAGAGATGCTGGATACAGAGGCAAGAACACCAAATACCCCCAGAATGCAGAGATCCCACAAGGCCCTCATTTTCCACAGTTTGGATGTCCTGAATACCAGGCTCAAGCTTTCTTTGCCTAAAATGAAACTGATCCAGCTTCTGCCTGGCAGTATTTCTGGTGATGGCCCACCAGATAACCACTTGGCCGATTCCTTTCTCCTAGTGTATTTGTTTGACAAGGCCAGCAGAAAAGCGATCCCAACTCTAAGTCCTCTATGAGGAGCATGCCAACACATGGCTTGTTTGAGACTTTCTCCAACAAGCCCTAGACTCTCAGTCTAGCCTATCGTACCTTGCCGGATGGTATTTTGTTAAGAAGAGAAGCAGAAGGGTAGGTGCCCAGAAGGTACAGGCCCTAGGTCTTGCAAGACTAGAGGAGGGCAATGTCTATGTCCAGGCCACACTCTTCTAAGGAGGCAGATGTCACTCCATCACTGACAATTGCCATGTTTCCCTCCCCAGCCAGGGCTGGATTCCCAAGGAAGAAAGTGTGCGGCGGCTCCTGTGTGCAGACCCCTGCTGCCCAGTCTGCAATTCTGTGGCTCTAGAGATTCATCGGTTGCTGGAGGGTGGGAACAAACAAGTCTCCCCAACTTTTTCGGTGCCATCACAGGGCTCTTCTTACCTAGAGATGTTCTCCACATCTAGTGTGTCTTTCGATCAGAGTCAGGATCTACATTCTGAGCACTCTGGAGAGCTTTCACTGCCATCTGGCCCCACACGGTCACGATTAGTAGATCAGAAATGTGTAACTCGGTCAACTTCCAGGTTAACTGGCACAGTAAGCATTCAAGACCATTGTGTTGATCACCACAAACATGGGAAGGGATTTAAAGTTCCCGACGTGGCCCAGGATGTGGGAGCTCTCTCTTCTTCAAGTCTTGATGAACCTGGGATTTCTGTGAAGAAGCAGGAGAGGAAGAAGAACAAAGTCACAGCTGTCCAGGAGAATAAAGGTCAGCAGCCCTTACATTCTAACTAGGTTCCCTTTCTGTCCCTGAACCTATAAGTACTGAACCCAAAATGACCCCTATGATCTTGCATTCCTTTTATGTGCCATTCCTATGTCTAAAAGGCCCTGATATCCTTTAAGTACAAGGATATAATGGCATTTCTACACTTGAGGGCTTCCAAGAGCTGTGAGGGAGGTCCTGTGGCAGCTTTACCATACCACTGTCAATGTTTTCAAAGGTTGGAGAACAACCAATCAACCATTTGTTTCATCCTTAATACCACTTCTAATGAAAGTTGAAATATAGGCTCTCATTCCCATTTACTCTGGGCTTCGTGGGAGGCCAGCAAGTTCACTCAAGCATTCTCAGTTTTCCATAGTGAGACCCTTGGTCTGCCTCTAGAGATCTCTTCAGGGAGCCCTGGGCTCTTTTACTTCAATGATTTCTTCTTCATCTCTGTACTGCCTAAAATTTCCACCCGTCTTGGTTAGTCCCACCATCTTCCCTATATCCTCTAATTCAGGTTTCCTACTCAGTCGTTGACAAGCTCATATCAATGTCCAACTTCTGACTCTGCGCAAGTCTGAGGCCTTGGTGTAGCACCTGCTGGAGAGGCAGTTCCAGCTGCAGTGTGGCTTGCCAACAGTTGACCACTGATCCCAGTGGATGTAAAGAACCATTCAACATATGCCTTGAGCCATGTTATAGCCCATCCCACTAAACCTAGGAACCTCTTTGAGGGGGAAGCCCATTTCTGTCCTCACGAGAGAGGCTGCACTCTTTTGGAGTATTCCAGAGATTGCTGAAGCTCCACCTACCGAGTGGTTGGAACGATAGGTTGATTTATCATTGCTGGGGCCTGCCCCAAAAGATCTAGCAGTCTGTCCAGTTGTTTGTCCCCTGCTGACCAGCAACCCCTGCCCTAGGGCAGCTTAGCCCTAGGGCAGCACAGCTCTGACTTGTGTTAGTCTCTTTCACCCTACAGCCCTGGAGGCCAGTGAGGATGGTGCCCTGACTTATCCATTGTGGCAGCAAGGCCAGTCCACAGTTGCCTGCTCAGGCCAGGGCAATGTTGCAGAACCACAAAGTCTACAAATGTAAGAATATCTGCCAGGGCATTGTCTGCCCACACTTAAATGTGCTGAGACTGCAAATCACTAGGTTGGCAGCATTCCAGGGGCCCTGGAAGCAACTTGGTTCCCTTGTCTTCTGAAAACCTGGAAGCAGCATTCAGCTCCTTCACAAATTAGAAGTGACACCTGGAATACTGACAGACCTTGACAAGCAGCAACAGGCTGCACCATATGCTATTACTGATGACCCTGAGCTGCCTGGGCCCAGTCCCAGAAACACTTGAGAAATTAACACAAGTTTTACTCTTCCTGTTAGGGTTGCATGCTCTCTGTTACGTGGCTCTCCCAAGAGTCATGACCCTGGTAATCACTAGCCAATCTGTAATCACATGGGCCCATCGGAGCCTCTGACTCAGTTGCATATGAACAAGAATGTGTAAGTCCTGGGCCATGCATTCAAGATGCCAATGAAACTTTTGGATACAGTGTACAAGGGTCCAGAGTGAAGTGAACAGAGATGGTGCCTATAGACAGTCAGACAGATCCTGACCATCCTTAATCATGTAATATACCCCTCTTGGCCAAACTGAATTTCTGCCAGAAATATAAACTCCTAGAGATGCATTTTGGAAGTCCTATAAAGATGGAGGCATCCAGAGAACAAACTGCAGCCATCCCAAAGAACATCTACCTAGGGGTACTTTAGGAGTCCATAAACTAAGGGAGAACATTGCTCTAGGAACTCCCTCTCCCACCAGGCATCCCATGTGTTCCAGAGTCAGAGTGGGTCCACCTAAAAGAACAGCTTGCAATGAACTAAAGACAGTAGTGTAGCACCCAGTTCTAGAGCAGTATGCCACAGTTCTGCCCACTGAGATCTCACAACTCAGTGGGGACATGACAGAGGCACTAGTACTGTGTGTTCAGCTAGAGATCAGAGTGAGCCCAGCCTGGAGGGTCCCTGAACTCTAGCCCAGGCCTTTGCAAGGGTAAGGTAAGTCCCCACCCTAGCACAGAAAAGAGAGGACTCAGTGAAATTCAAAACAGCAGGGAATCACAGGGGTGGGGGGTGCAGGCCTGAGGTTCTCTCCAACCTGATAGGATAGCCATTCTGTTGAAACTCAGAGGCAACAGGAATGCTTCTAAGTAGAACCCCAGAATCCCTGACTTCCCAAATGTGCATCTCTGGACTCTTTCTTGGGTAGATCTTTAGTTTGGCCAGATAGTTGCAATGAATGAGTAGATACTTTCTAGCAACTATCTCCATCCTCTCAGCTTGCTGTTACATGCCAGTACCTTCATCTGCTTCTCCCTTACCTTGAGTCTGCAGAATCCCGGGGGGTTGCTTGGGACAAAAGGATCAGATGAAAATGATCTGCAAGTCCTTTAGACTAAGCTGAACAATATCAACCAAAGATTCCTGAGAACACCAGACCTGGGGTGCCTTGGTCTTAAAGAGCCAGACTTTATAGGGCCAATGTACTGGGCCATCATTTGCTGGACCAAATATTGCAAGTTCAATCTTTGAAGGGGGTGCATTTTTAGGTATAAACTTTCAGGGTTAAATGTTTCAGGGCTAAGTCTTATGGGGTGAAGCTTGGCAGGGCCCAAATTTGCAGCAGGGTCATACTTCCCAGGGCCTAGAGCCGCAGGGTTTTTCAGGCAGCCCTTACTCATAAGAGCTCCAACCCTTCCAGAAGCTCCAGTTGACTTGGAAAACAAGATGACTCTCTTTTCACACTGGATTAACCCTGAAGTGAAAGGTCAAAGGCATGAGGAATCCATCATCCCCAGTAAGGCTGAGACAACGACCAAAGCCAAGACAAAAACGGTTGAGAAGAGCCCAATCCCCACTAAAAAGCTTGTGCGGGGACCTAACATGGAAAAGACAACAGTGGGTCCTGGGGCCCAGTGTCCCCCTACTAAGAAGGAGGGCATGAAATCTGATGCCCCAGCTGCCCACAAAAGCAGCTTCAGTAACTTTCCTTTAAAATCTGCCAATCCTGTATCCTGCGTCATTCCTGCTGCTGCTCCAAAATCTGTCCTCAACTGATTGCCACCCAAGCAGGAAATCTACCCCAGGTCTCAACTCTCACCTCAGCAGAAGACACTGGTTTGCATACGGAGACTCCCCATTCCAAAGAAAAGGAGTTGATAGGTTCCCACACCTCTGCATCCCCCTGAAAAAACGCTGTCATCACCGTTTCCATTAACACACAGGTGAGGCAAGGCATTCTCCAAATATACTCTCTACCTGTAAGCAGACAGCTGTTTGTGTCTCCTTATTTTCAGTACAGTATATGATGCAGAGGGCAGAAGAGGTTGAAACCTCTTCCATGTGGGATAGGAATTTAAATGCACTTTTTCTTTCTGATGGGTCAGCAGCCTCATCCTGGACTGCAGATAAAGTGGCCTGAGCAAAGAAATGCTGTTTAAGGTGCACTGAAGGTAAAGGTCAGGCTTGAATGCCATCATGGTTTTCTGTGGTGTGCTTTGGCCCAGAAGAGCAAATGCGGATATGATGATGGTAGTAAGAATTAGTAAGCAGGAATCCAATAGAGTTTTCCTACACACGGAATTTACTGATGACCTTTATATATGCCCACTATGTGGAGGCAAAGTTTTTAGAGTGCCACAGGTCTCCCAACTTGAGGAGATGCTTTCTGTTTAACAAAAACATAGTTAATCTGACAGATATCACAACCAAGCGATAGACTCTCCCAGTCTTTTCTCTGACACTGTTGAGACGTTGAAGGGAAGTCCACCTGGAGACCTGCCATAGCCCTGTTGCCTATTCCAGCCCTGTCTCCCCCAACCTCCCAGCTGTATGTAATAAAGACCTACTAGAATGAAAATCAGCTGGAGAAGAGGTCGCCAAAAGGATCACAATAAAAATGACTTTGAGCTGAGTCTTGCATTCAGCAATTCATATATTCAAGTACTTACTGTGCCAGGCACTAAGCCAGACAGGGAGACCACAGTGAACAACACACGGGCCTTCCTCTCTTGGAGTTCATGGACTGTGGGGTAGAGAGAAGTTATAGGAAGTCTTTGGAAGCAGTTTCACTGGAGCTGGGTAGGGGACTAGGTGAAAGTACACAGGAGGAGCCAGCGCCGTGGCTCACTAGGCTAATCCTCCGCCTTGGGACACCGGCACACCGGGTTCTAGTCCTGGTTGGGGCGCCGGATTCTGTCCCGGTTGCCCCTCTTCCAGGCCAGCTCTCTGCTGTGGCCAGAGAGTGCAGTGGAGGATGGCCCAAGTCCTTGGGCCCTGCACCCCATGGGAGACCGGGATAAGTACCTGGCTCCAGCCATCAGATCAGCGCGGTGCGCCGGCCGCGGCAGCCATTGGAGGGTGAACCAACGGCAAAGGAAGACCTTTCTCTCTGGCGCTCTCTCTCACTGTCCACTCTGCCTGTCAAAAAAACAAAAAGAAAGTACACAGGAGGGCACTTAATCTCATTGTGGGGGTGAAGAGGTGATGATGTTCATTGTGTGTTTCCTGGAAGAGGTGATGTGTAGGCTGAGTTTCCAAGCATGAGCAGGAGTGAGGCAGGCAGGCAGCAGCATGGAGAGAGGCTTCCCCAGGCTGGGACTACAACACAAGCAAAGGCAGTGTGTCAAACAAATGGCAGGCCACCAGAGAATAGGGACTCACTGGAGAAGCCTCTGTATAACCAAAAAAGTACACTCAAATGTTTGAGGGATCAGAATCATGCTTCCAAGATGGAAAATGGGTGATACCAGTTCTTTCATCAAGTACTGAGAACCTGTTATGTGCCAGCTACTTTTACAGACACTGGAAATGTGGCAGTGAACAAAAAGGGGGAAAGAATGCTCCCAAGGAGCTCACATTGGGAGTGTGCTATGGAGGAGACAAAAGAACCACAGTAAAAAGTATAGTCTGTATGTGAAAAATCAGGGTAAGAGGGTTAGGGAAGACTTCAGTGGAGTACAGTTTTAAATAAGGAGTTCCGGGCAGTTCTCACTGGCAAGGACCGCCAGGAGGTGAGAGAGTCAAGCACATGGATAAAGGACAAAGAGCATTCCAGCCAGAAATTAGAGCTGTTGCAGAAGTCTGGATGCTGGCGCAAGCCTAGCCTCTTAGGTGGGACAAGAAAGCCAGTGAGCCTGAGGGATGACAAAAGAACCGTACGAGAACAAGTGGCAGAAGGCCTAGCAGTTCAATGCAAGGACATTGCTGTTACTCTGAGTAAACGGGGAGCTACTAGACTCTGCTTACATCTGACTTATGTTTTATAAGGATCACTTAGGCTGTGGTGCTAATGAGGGAGTGTCAGGGGTATAGACTTGGGTAGAATCAGGGAGATTAGTTATGTCATTACTCTAGTAGTGGTAGCAACAGATGAGATCATAAGTATTTAGATGCTGGATTCATGTTGAAGGCACATACAACAGGATTTACAGGTAGACTGGATGTGATTATTAGAAAAATAATCAAGAATGATACCAGTGTTTTTGGCCTGAGTAACTGGCAAGATGAAGTTGCCATTAATCAAAATGGAAAATACTGACATTGAAGTAGGTTTGGTATGTAATATTGGGTGGTGGTAGAGGGTAAGGAGTCAGGAATTCATTTTTTTTCCAGACTGAGATGAATATTGACATCTAAGTGTGTATGTTGATTAGACAATTTGGACATATGAGCCTGGAGTTCAAGGAAGGGTTAAGGCTGCAGGCAGATAGCTAAAGACAGCTTGCTATAAAATTGTGTGTGTGTGTGTGTGTGTGTGTGTGTGTAGCCTGCTATAAATTTAAGAGATTAGATAGGACCACCAGGGTAATAAGAGTAATGAAAGACCTATAGACTGACCTCTGGGATTCTCAATTGTTAAGGAATTGAGAAGAAAATGAGGAACTAATAAGTGAAGGAGATTTAGAAGCAGTAGCCAGGAAAATCAGAGGAGTGTAGTACACTGGAAGCCAAGAGAGGGAAATTTAAGGAGAAAAATAATCAACAGCATGGACAGTTGCCAGTGGAGTAAGAGGAGGACTAGAAATTCACCATTAAATGTAGCAAAGTAAAGACTATTCATGACTTTGGGAAAAAGTCTCAGGTGAGTGATGAACAATGGCTAGTGTGGAGTCAAGAAAGAGTGACAGGATGTGTAATCAACTCCTGCAAGGACTTCTGTCTCACAACGGTGCAGAAAAAGGAGGCAGTAACTCTAAGAGGGAGTGAGATCCAGAAAGAACTTTCTTAAAAATGACAGACAGCCTGTTGGATCTTGATGAGAAAGATTCAGTCAAGAGGGATGAATGGATGATGCAAGACAGCAGAGAGAGAATACTGTGGTGCAGCAGTGAAAGTGGGAGAGTGATTACCCAAGTCAAGGGGCTGACTTTCACTAAAAACACAGACTTTCTAGTGATGTGGGGACTGAATGTGGCATTGATGAAGGATTTTGTGGTACAAGGGTATCCTACATATAAGAGAGAACAGGCAAATGCCTAGAAGGATGTGTGAGGAGCTGGGAAATGGGCCACTGCTCCAGGGGAGGGATGGAGTGACAGGAGAGTGACAGCTGGGAAGCTGGAGGTGAAGAGGAATTCGGAACGTTACCACGGAAACTTTCTGTAGGGCCTAAGGAATTGTGGTGGTGTAAAAGCCTAGGCAGACATGAAAAGATGGTTGAAGTTGCTGATTATGTGTGTGAAGCAGGTGCTCTTGGAATACTGAGGCCGCTGGAGAGATCACAGAGAATGCTCTAAACGCGTGGGGCCATGGGGTGAGTGTTTGGTGTAGTGGTTAAGATGGTGCTTGGGATGCTTGCATTCTATATCAGAACACCTGAGCTGGAGTTTGGCTTTGCTTCTGAATCCATCTTCCTTAGAAGGGAATGCCCTGGAAGGCAGCAGGTGATGGCTCAAGTAGTTAGGTCCCTGTCACTCATGTAGGAGACACAGATGGAGTTTCTGGCTCCTAGCTTCGGCCTGACCCAACCTTGGTTGTTGCAGGCATTTGGGAAGCAAATATGTGGAGGGATTCTCCCTCCCTCTCTCACTCTCTCTTCTTTTTAAATAAAATGCATGGGGCCTGAACAAGAATATGGGGCTGGAGATAAAGAAATATGGCAGGAGTGGCATCCTAGTGCTCAGCAAGGGACCAGGGTGTTTTCAGGATTTGGAGGAGAGAATTGGGAGACAGGGAAACAAAGAGGCTTCCCTGGACACACGGATGGACCTGTTTTGGTCATGCAGTCCCTTAGAAAGTAGCACCTCTGCATCCCCCTGCTGATCTACCACAAAGGAGTCAGGAGCTGGATAAGGGCAGAGAGTGCTGTGGCTTCCATGTGATGTGTTATGAGAAGCTGTGGAAATCTAGTTTCTAAGGAAATCCAGAATCACTCATACCCCCATCAACCCAGGAAGTAGTGGCAGACCTGCTTCCTCGGCTAGGACCCTGCATTTAGTACAGTGTCTCCACCATTAGGACACAGAAGAGCCAGGGATGTGTCCCTCCTCTGAATGGTGACTCTGTGCCTAAGGGACACAGGACCAGCCCCTAACTGGGCCCCAAGGGCAGGCAGGAACAAGGTCCCAGCCTGCTGAGCCAACTCTCCCGGTGTTTTCCTAAAGCTTCCCAAAGATCAAGGGAGGTCTACTGACAGGCACATCCTATCTGGTGGGAGCTGGGCAGAGAGCCACAGAGCTAGGGGACTGGAGGGAGACCCAGAATGAAGGGAATAGACTCTGCTGTGTCACAGTGGCATCAGGTTGCAAGCCAGGGTTAGTGTGCACACATCCTGGTTAGGGTGGAGCCAGTCTTGCCCATGGTCCCCTGCAGGCTCCTACCCATCCCAGAGGTGATTTCAGGCAACTGACCTTCACCACTGCTCAACTTCTGTCCCTGCTCACTACACCCTAGCAAGGAGGTCATCCAACGCACTGAGCAAGGGGGTGAACATGTGAAACCTAATCTTCTTTGTTCAGTCCTGTCATGCCAGCTTCTTGCCAGCAGGGGGCTGCTACTTTCTGACCAAGAACAGAAACTCACATCAGGCTCACAATCCCAGCCTTGAGTGAGGTGTTCAGACCACCCAGTCATCTGCCCCCACTGGCTTCTAGTTCCTCTCCTCTGTGGGACTTGGAGTAGAACATCCCCTGCCCTAAATCTTCCTCTGACTCTCACCCTCTGCCAACAGCCTCATTTTTAGCCCACCTTCCTATCAGCACCCTGTATTTACATTTGCCTGTCCAGGCGAATTCCTGGAAAGAAGATAATGTATGAACTAGTAGTGA